ACTAAATGTACAAAACTGAAATAATTTTTATGTTTTTTTTTTATTTCCACAAATTCCCTAAAAATGAAGTGCTGCGTCAGAAGTGGCTTGAAGACATTCGATGATTTGTACCTTTAAAAAAAAATTCAAAGGACCAGAAGATTTTTAATGTATAAAACTCTGCTATCGATATCGATACTTTTTGGTTTTGACTACAGTACTTCCCTAGCAATGGCAGCCATTTTTAGGCCGCGGTTTCTAGTAGGTATGCACGCGTATTTTGTAGGTATTTCTGGTCCATATTATAGTAGGTCTGTGTCGTCTTCATAAATGATGTTTGCATATAATATATTAAACTTAATTGATATATGACTAATATACTTTAAAAAAATATGAAAAGAAGAACTTTTACCTAGTTTATGTTCACATTAAAAAGATAGATATTATTATAAATAAATAAGTACCTATGTAATGGATTTTGCTATCTAACCATTTGATCTATGAACTCTAAATCTACTGCACTTTGTCCAGTCTCCGAGTATTTGTCATAGAGACTTGCGATAAGAATTAATTGAAGAAACGTGGCGGCAATTAATATGTTTATGAAATACTAAGAATATTGTACAATTAAGACAACATAGGCATGAAGTAATAGGAGGTATTTTAATTATGGAATGTGATTATAAATAATACTTTGTTTTTTGAGGGGCAAATAATTTATCTATTGGTTTCTCCCGCCTTGGATGAGGCGAAAGGGAGTGACAGACTCTTACTCACTAAAAACCACCTTGTTTCTACTCTTGCTCTGCGGACCGGAGCCCCCGCCAACCTGTTAAGTCTTCCGCGGCTCCTTATCAGGCATCAGCCCAACTGCACCTCATCTGTGGTGGTCTGATGGCTCTTTGAGGCGCGCGCGAAACGCGATGCTCCTTAAATACTGTTATATGTACTAGGCATTTCGTGGTATTCTAATTAACATTTTAGCAACAGATGCAACAGCAAAATTCTTGTCTGATGTTTCGGTATCTTACATAGAACAAATACCTGTCACAGGCTGGTAATGATAGCGACAAATTCAAAGAGAGATTCTTATTGGACAAATCACTGCTCCAATATAGTCTCCTCCTTCAATGATGTGTTCAGTATTTTTTGTTTATTTTTTATGTGAAATATTAAATACATATTTTTTAAATAATGTTGCTACCTATATTCCTACGTGAATATTATATTTTCTTTTTTTTATATATATAAACGTTGCCCCACACTAGGATTATCTCCTGTGTCGTGGGTGCGTTTACAAACATACAAGTTTACATACACATGACACCCAGACCCGAAACAACAATTTGTGTGCAATCAAAAGCCCAAAAGGACATGGTCGATCTACTTAATTGTATTATTTAAACTGTCAAACACCAAGCGGTCACCGGTGACCGCGACCTATTGTTCTTTAATTGTGTCTATAAAACCGGTACTCGACGAGTTAAGACACAGAACATATAATTTAAAACCTGTATTATGTACAAATTCACAATTAAAAATTAAAAAATTGATGGAAAAAATATTTTTAATTCGTCGTGTACAGACATCAGTCCATTCAATAGCTACCAACACATTTTCTATACATTATGAGTAATGACCTTAAAAACGGAATAAAAATAGCAGTGTCGGAAGATATCTGGTGACACCGGAGTACGTCTGCCCCGGAAATGTCCGACAGACTGACCAACCTTAGCGTAAATGAGATAGTTATGCAGTATGTAGGTACGGATACTATTATAAAAATCTAGTTGAAGGTATCTATCCGTCTTGTAATGATAAGCTTAGATTACTGGTTCCATTTTAATTATTGAAGGAATATTTTATAAAATTGGTTTTTACGGATATGAATGTAGGAACATAGCGAAGTTTAAGTGTGGGAGAGCGATGCTTCGGCACGAATGGGCCGGCTCGACCGGTGTGATACCACCGCTTCTCAGAAAACCGACGGGAAACAATGCTTGCGTTGTGTTTCGTCGTGTGAGTGAGGTTACCGGTGGCCTAATTACTCCCCTCCTCAATCTTCACAATCCCGGAATCTCCAACAGTCCTCCTCAGTCCTAATCCCCAACCGGTGTCCATGGGCGACGCCGATTGCTTACCATCAGGTGATCCATCTGCTCGTTTAATGGCTTATCCCATTAAAAGAACTCGGAAAGCCCTAATGTTCCTTTTAAAATCTCGTGCCCGTAACTTGTTAGCAATCTCCTACGCAAAGGAAGGCATTTGAAATTCTGGCATTGCACTAGCATTCTGGTCCTAGAAGTCGCTAGAACATATTTTGCGACAAATTCATCTCAAATAAATATCAAACCAGAAGTTTCTCCTTTATGCATTTATGACAATAATTTCCTTGTCTTTCATAGGTACCTACTCTACGAATGTTGAGTATGTCAGTCAATTCATTACTATAATATTGTAAATGAAGTAGTAAAACGTAGTTTGATATCTAATTTACAGTTAAAACCGCAAAGACCTTGTCTGTTAGGCTCAAAGTCCGTCATATGATATCACCACTAGTAATGTACTTGAATAATTTACATTAAAATTAACTTAGGACATTGAACTGGTGACAACAAAGACAAATATGAGGTCGAAAGTTCATAACCAATTTCTGTTTGGCTATTATTAAGGAAAATGTAAGAAGATGGTTAAGGGGTTCAGAAACCGAAGGAGTTGCTAACAACGTTAGCTTCTACGGTGAACGGCAGTGGTTTTGATGACCTACGGTGAACAACACATCCGTCATCCTGTCCTTCAGGACTGCCAATTCATTCATCCTGGCAACTCCCAATTCATTACTTCTCCGTATGTAAAAAGGGGTCAGCTGCAGTCCCAACTGTTACAGTTACAGGCTGATAAACAAACAGCATTTCCAAATTCTTACATAACTAGTTATAATCTTTTTTCATTTTAATTAGTCAGACTTTCCATTTTATCGTAGATAATAATAAAAACTATAAGCGTTGTTGTAATACTTGTAATCAATCGGTTGTAACCAGAAATAACTAGTTTAAAAAACTCGTGGTAAAGCAGCTAAGTTCGCTGAATTTTAATGCAAATGTTCCAAAATGTACGCGTTTGATAAAGCTACTAACAACAATTACATTTACTATACCTCTGCCACCAAAACGTGTTTGTAACGTCAGTTGTTTATGCATCCGCCAGACTATGCAAATGTATTTTTTGTTATACAGAATGTCAAAAACATTAGTAGGTGTGGCTGTTTTTACACTTTGCATGCCATTTTGTTTACTTTTCTTTTTGTTCTTCACGTTTTTTCTGGTCTTTCGGGACAGACTACTTTATCGCCATAAATTCACGTTTCTTTTCTCTCGTCCCCTTTTGGTAAACATGGGCGTTTGTTTTCAGTTACCCAATGTGTACATGGCAAAGCAGTTTCGACGAATAAAAACGTCATCGACCTTCGTTTGATTCTGTTTACGTAACGTCGCCTCACACGGACACACCCCCGAACTATTTTATGAAAGCTGTTTTAGCAGTCAAGGTGACATTGACGCAACTTTTTATGTTCTTACGTATATCAACCGAGCCATTCTAACTTCTTAATGTTTATTCAAATTATGCTCTTAAAGCGGATTCTCCATGCCTGTATTAAAAGGGTTTTCTCGCCACGATCTGCAGAAGAAAATTGTTATGTAAATCAATTTCATACTCACGTGACAATGTTGTTATTGTTTCAAGTGATTCTGGTCACTCAACTCATGCGTGATTCGTATTTTTAGCTCCTAACAACACCCACGGCAAGAGCAGTGTTGGCTCTGGTACTTTCATAGCTGAAGACCGCATGGCACATGATTTGAATGAAAGTAAAATAGCTTTCCTATGACTTGGGAAGTGAGAAGCAATAAAACACACCTTATGACATGATCGTACAGCGCAATTGTATTTTAAAAATAAATTTGACGTAGGCGAAGTGTACTTCAAGGGCACGATGCATAGTTTTAAAGCTGTTTATACAATATTTTTTCAATTTGCAACTTTGTTTTCGTCAATAAAGGTACTCAGTTGCTACATGATGTAACAATTTTGCGAGGGATTTTATTTATTCGATAGTTTTTCCTTTCTTGTGATGACAAACACTATTATTTCCTGGTTAGGTAGTTGGTGTTAGTCACATAAGGATATTCCTCTTGTTATAAGGAAAATTCAAAAGGGGTTCTGTAAGGTAAAACGTATACCAAGATCTAGTTCTTACCACAGCAGCATTCTGTAGTAGGAAAACAGAATTGTAATCCGAATTCACTAAGAATTTGTCATTTAAATAATTTAGTTTTTGGTCTTGCGATTCGAATCTTTTGACACAAAGGACCTTCGTGAAAGAAAATGTTTCTAAATAAGGAAAGTCTTCAGAGGTTTCTTTTTATAATTTGGACGGAAGCACTTTAAGAGACAAAGACTTGTATTCGTGGCGACACTTGTTCTCATTCTTTGTTTGGCAAATAATTTATTTATACTTGTTATTTGGCTCTTGCCTTGCGAAAAATATTTTTTTGCACGGTTCAAATCCGCACATGCTTCTGAATAGCGAAGCAAAAACATTGCGTATGCCTCATGACGCATGTTGACTTTGTCGTGATGTACTATTTTTGGGTGTCTAGTCAGTTTGTTTTGTAAATTGTAGCTACCAAACTTAGTTACATCATTGAAGTTCCATCGTGTTTATGCGTCAATACTTATCCACATATTGCTTTGATGATATTTATTTTGGTTCAATGCATTATGCAGGGTGACAAGTACGAATGGTCCAGACTTGTTGGACTATTGCCACAGTTTCTAGCTTACTTTCATTCAGTCTTAATTGTCATTTATCATCGGTATATCATCGGTTGGGGCGAATATCCCAAATTTCCGCGTAACTTAATTTATGAGGCAATTAAAATTTTTTGGCCAGTGTGTTCATACCTGAAAGTCTATTTTGGCACTGACATTGTTATTGGTCAGTTTGTCACCTGTTCGTAATGAATAGTGAAAAAATCATTCCCCTTGTAGTGTTCATTGTAGTTGTGCTATTCGTTAAGATGAGTGATGTGAAACACATTTGGGACAAGCAGAAAACTAATTTCCGTAAGTTTTTTTTAATAGTTTTCTAATGTTCATTTACAGTCTTTTTTTAAAGTGTTTTAATAAATCTTATCAATAGCTATGTATCACCGTTCTACTCATTATCGATCGATAAATGAGGGTTTTGTTGAACGACATACAGCATCGATAAAACCGCGAAATTGCTCTGTGGCCGCCAGTTATGATTATGTACAAGTTTGTGTTCGCGTAATTATTGTTTTATACCTAAATTTAATACGTCATCGCACGGTGGAGTGATAACACGTCGTGTGGGTGTGTAAACCGCCGCGCCTCCGCAGTCCGACTTTTGGTTTACGCGGGAATGAGCGTGCTTTGAGTGTTCCGAAATTGAATTTTCCCGCTCACATTTAAGTTGTCAAGTGTCATTTGTTTTTTTTATTGAAGGTGTAACTTTTTTAAACAACAATGGATGATGGTATGTTTAGATTGTATTGTTTTGAACAAATGTATTTATAGGAAATATTTTTAAATTGATAAAAATTATAAATGTTGAATTTATAATAAGATCAAGGTAATCGACTTTTCACTTTAGTGTTCTACGATCGACATTCATGTTAGTTCTAACTAGTTACTTCGTTCTAGGTACTCGACTCTTTCAATTATCATTTTAATTGGTCAACAAGAAATAGAAAGTGGATTATTTAGGAGGAAATTGTGAAAAATGAACATATTGTATAATGTAATTATTAAGTGTGTGATGCAAGTACTTTTAGATAAGAAAGTCATGTCATCAAAACTGAAAATGAAATCATTTGTAATTAAACAATGATTTGATGACGTATCTTTTTTGTTTATGGTATTTTTCATTTTTTTTTATCGCATTAATCGGTTATTTTTTTGTGCATCGTTCTATGGATCGATCTAAGCGTTGACTTAATTATCGAAACTTGGACAATTTGACAACCGCTCTTGGCTACCTATTGCCCTGTAACGGATGACCTTTACACGATCCAATTGGAATTTGTTATCTATTTTAATTCTACAAAACGTCAACAAAATCAACAAATAGTATTATGGCGGATACGATATTGGCTTATCACATTTTTTGACTAGGCAAACAGCTAAGGTTCAATTTACTTTATCATAACGGGAGTGTACTAAATATTTTGCCAACTTTTGACGAATTCTCTAACGTTCAAACCTAAACTATAGGGAAATTCCCAAGGCTACTAAGATAAACAAAACACGACTGATTTTATATCGTAAACGACTACCATTTAAGTTCAAATTATCCTGTAAAAATGTTACAAAAAATCGCTTATGGTCCCCGTAGTGGCAATGCAAAATGAACCTTATGTACATTATCAGCGAATTCATACACACCCACACTTGGGAGAGTACAGGTGTATTGAAATCCAGTTAATGAGGCATTGAACTTGGAAAAAAATAGTATAGTACTGGTTTTTCCATAAAAACACCGTAAATATTTATTTTTGGCTATATAGTACTTTGGCTAGGACATATTTTAGCAGATTTTTTGGTCTTGATTTGTGTTTGTCTGAAATGGGCCTTGCCTAAAAAATAATAACGCATGTAATTTCGAATATTAGGCATCGATGTTAGATGGCACGTTTGGTTCGGTGGGCAACCGGCTGCCGCGCAACGTGTCGCGGTTTCGATTCCCGCACGGAGCTAGTCTTGTGTGATACACAAATTGTTGTTCCGGATCTGGGTGTCATGTCTGTGAACTTGTATGTTTGTAAACGCATCCATGACACAGGACAAAATTCTAGTGTGGGGCAATGTTTTTTTAAACAATAGAAAAAAAAATTATTTACTACATACGAGTGTTTCTCTTTGGACATTCCATGTTTATGGATAGATGATCCGTTTACGAAAAAAATATTTATATCTTTGGAAACCGCTTATTGGTTACAAAAAATTATAACTGCGCACCGGATCTTGGAACTTTAATCGCCGTTTATAATATCTATTAAAGATTATGTTATATAGTTGGTATGTTTATAATCTTGACACTGTCTAGAGCCAAGATAAAGTGTTAAATACCTAATTTACCTGCATTTACCTTGCTGATAAGCTTCTTAGTAAATCTGTCTATGTCAAGGTGTTACTGTAAACATATTTGTATGTAAACACGCACTTCTTTAACGGGGGAAAAATCATAGAATGACTTCTCACGTCTGGGTGAGGTGGAAGGAAGTGTCAGACTCTTACCTACTGATCACTTACCTAAAAACCACCTCGTTTCTACTCTTGCACTTCCAGCTGGGACCCCGGCAGGCGGCAACCCGTTAAATCCTCTGCGGCTCCGTATCGGCATCAGCCCTATTGAGCCCCATCCGTGGTGGTCTTACGTTCGGGACACACACTTACATTGGATGTTAAAAATGTCGAATAAACTTTCTTTTATCATGTTTTTGGAAAGGATCAGAAAGTATTTAGAAAGTTGATTGAATAAATGTTTCTTGTGTTCACGTAATTTCTATGATTAGAATGAGTATTAATTTGTAATTAACCTTATTACTTAGGTCTCTAAATTAGAATGTAACTACATACGTAATACATACTAGCAATTATAAGTACCTACACCTACTTTAGTTAAGTACAAAACAAGAAAAATTTGGAACATTTTCAACCAACTCGTATTTATTTAGTTCGTCTGCGTTACATTTAGTAAAATCAGCAGGCGATCGAAGTGAGAAATTGATTTGGCAACAATATTCTAAAACAGTGTCCAAAAATGTTAAACTATTTGCACACATATTGAAACTTTTTCATAAAGTAACACATAAACAAAAAAAGTAATGACATGACAGCAAATTTTCCCGCTTTTTTCATGTGTCATGGCGTCGCGTCACGAGCGGTTTACGTTTTCCTTCTACGCAACATTGTTTATTGTAACCAGTAACCACATAATTATATTACCTTGAGTTTGCCATGTAATTTACCCATCTGTCTTCTATCTAAATAGCTACACATAAAAATCTAATACTGTTCGTTAGTTTCGCTAAAAGAATGATTGGATTGATAAGCACAGTTAATTATAGATTTACTTTAAAAAAAAATGGAGGACCGGCAGGAAACGCTAAAGAAAAGTCAAATAAATTGACGTTGTTGTTTGAGTGAAGTCGCGAGCCCAGCGTATCTCTAAGAAATAAGGCTAAACGGATTATGAATCTAAGAACTATGTAATTTTTGCTAACCTTGAGGAGTAAACTAATACATAGTTATGATAGGTATTTAAATTGTAAGTTATGACGTAAAGGCCTTATGAGGTCGTATTTTTCTTCTACTAAGTAATTACCTACACGTTTAAGGAGTTTTATCAATCTAATATTTGTTAATTTAGAGGCATTCTTAATTTTAAGTTGTATTCGTAGGATCGACGAAGTAGTAATAGAATAGAATATGATAGTTTATTTATTTGCACAGAATGCAGGTATTTACATAAGGTGATATTAAAACACTGATACGGTATCCTTGTACATTCTACCATTTTCGCAAGCAAACATTAATGTAGGTTCAAGGTAGGTAAGTGGTGCCTCACAGTGGACACGTCATGTGCCGCCGTGCACAGCGAGGCTTAAGGGAGATACACATCTCCCTTGGGATCTGCCGTAACAGGCGTAGGGGTTCCGAAGCAGGTCTATTATAGAGGACTCTGTGCCGCCCGTAGGTGATGATGGTGGACACCGGTGTGGTTTTAGTGGGGTAGGAATCCCACACTCGCTTTCCCCAAAAAAGGAAAGATGCCTTTTGAAGGCTTCCCTCCGTTATGAAAGAAAAGTAAGTCGTACCTATTCATCCGCAAACGTGATGTTAATGATTTAACTATTATTAATTAACACAATTTCTTTAACTTTTTTCTTTTTTCTTTTTTCTTTTTTTCTTTTTTCTTTTTTCTTTTTTCCGTTTCCGGCATCCGAACTGTCAACACCGTCGTGACAAACTCCGAGTGAAATTAAGTGAAATAAAATAGTAAACGTAACTTTTGGTAACTATTAGTGGCTAATATTCGTCGAGTCAATACTGGGACCTCTTGGAAGTGATAAAAAAACATACAGTGAAGTGCGATTACTGGAATCCATCGTGGATAATATCAAAATAATATCAACATAATAAATATTGGATTGGAGGTAGAAGTAGAAAACAAGAAATCGTTCGTTCACCCAGTGACACTTGACGTTAACGTCAATGAATCTAACTGACATACTAAATAGTGTTGCCAAGTGAAAAAATTGTTGATACCATATTCTACTATTGCGTTTCGTTACACGTAGATTCAAAATACAAGATGGAAGGCCAATTTCAAATATTATTTGAAAAAATGAAATTAGAGATGCAAAACCAAAATGCTGAACTGAAGGATTCTATAACAAATAGTATTATGGAAAAGATGGATGACAAACTAATCCCTATTATCGAAGAAAATAAGAACCTGAAAACTGAAATAGGAAAACTAAAAAAAGAAATCGATTTTCTTAAGAGGGCTGGAAAAAACAATAATATTATAGTATTCGGATTAGAAGAAAACGAAAAATCCTCTTATGAACTGATACAAAAGCTCAAAGAAGCCTTTAATCAAGACTTGAATATTAAAATGGAAGAATACGATATCAACAAAATTCACCGCTTAGGAAATAGAAATAGAGAGAGCAACAAACCGAGACCAGTGCTATGCTCGTTTATTAGCAACTGGAAAAAGACCGAAATTATCAAAAACAAAAAGAACCTAAAAACTATATACATTGCGGAGGATTATTCGAAGGATGTGTTGGAAAAAAGAAAAGAGCTTCAAACCAAATTAATCGAAGAGAGACAAAAGGGCAATATAGCATATCTGAAATACGACAAACTAATTGTCAAAGAAAACAACTATAGCCAAGAGAAAAGGAAAAGGGAAATATCCGCCTCACCCTCCTCAGATAACAACCAACCAAAAAAACAACAAACCGTAAACACAATGAAGACAAACAGGACAAATGCTTACGATTTAATGCGGTATAGATCCAGCTTGCTGT